CTTAAGGCAGGCACCACTATGCTTTTGGTTGAGCAAACAATGAAATCGAAGATCCAGATAATTTCAGTAGATGCTGTTAACAAAGAACATCTGAATACATAGGGTCAAATCACAGCAGAACATACACAAACTGTGTTAATGTATGAACATTTGAATGTAACATTCAAAGGAGGATATACTGTTTTTAAGCCAAAATTTCAGGATTTGTACATAAAATGATAAAGGAACGAGAACTAAAACTACAAGTTCTTAATATTAAAAATGAGATACATAAAGTCACTGCAATACTTACCACCGTGAAATTCATAACCTTCAAAATCCATATTGTCATTGCTAAGTTAACAATCATGGTAACCAACAGCAGAAGGACAAAGAAGTATAAGCACCTCTTTCGCCATCCATAAATCCCTACTGGATAAAACTGAGGATTTTCAGTCCTTGGGAGGCTGTTCTGCTGTGTTGCTAATATATACTGCTCTCGTGTCATCTGGAAAAGGAAGAGACATAAATAAAAACTGAGGGCTGTATTTAATAGATTTTATTATACAAAGATCATCTGATATTGTATGAGAAAGCAGTTTCCACAAGTACAGAAAGGTTGCATTAATTCAGCAAAGACCATACAAATGTTATTTCAATTAGGTATTCAAGTAAGAATCTGACAGGTTTTGTTATTTTATTTTTAAGTAAACCTTTTATTTGACTTTTCAAATTGGATTTGTACCTCAAATTCATCAGTACTAAGTTGTAAAAGTTACTGCTGTAATGCATGTACAATTTTATAACCATCAGATTAAGTTTTAGTAGTCATAGAAAATATGTAAAAGTAGAAAAAGAGAAAGATAAAAATAAAAGAGATTGCATGTACACATTTTAAATTCCATTGCTGAAGATTTCTGCTGTTCTTCGTGAGGTCATTCAGAAAAAATTCGTTTTGGAGAAGTCAGTCACGTAAATCCATACAAATGGAGGAAAATCTATTCTTTCTAGAAACAGTAGTCATAAATGTCATAAATGACATAAATGTCTCTTCTTATTATACTCAGCAAATTAATGTCATCATATATACCACGTTTAACACAAAAAGAAAAAACTTTAACTCTGTCCGTTAGGTTATATGGATAACATCATCTTCTGTTTTTCCTGAACCAATCTTAAGTTCTTCAGCACAAAAACAAGCAGTGAATGTTTGCAGATGTTACCATTAACTCTTCTTTAAAGTAAAAATCCTTACTGCATTTCATAAGAAGCCATTTTACTTTTGTTTCCATTTTTACATCTTTAAATATCTTTCACAAACATATTCATATTCAGCTCTCCTTTAAACAGGAAGGCATCAGTTTTTCTCTGTGACTTAAAAATGAAATTAAAGCAATTTGGTTTTGCTTATTTACAATTTCTTCCTGAAATGTGCCAATAAAAAGATTGGTTTAACAGGCCTTGTGGTCAGGAGGAGGAAAAACAAACAAAGTTTCTGCCATAGAATTTATATAAGCTTAGTTGCCCAAAATAAGCCAGACAGAATGATCACTTTTACATTAAAAAACTCTTATCTCCTGCTAAAAGATCATGTAACAATCTGAGCAAAAAATGGATCAATTGATTCAATTAGAAACAAAAAATAGTTTAAATCCATTTGAAGGATCAGTAAGTATTAGTTTCATAAGGTTGACCTTTAAAGTGTAAAGCTGAGAAATGTTTACTTAAACATTTGAACTGTGAGATATTTATGCGGACTGAGACTCTGAGGTTTTCCCATGCACTTGTTAATGAATAAGATATTAATTGCACAGGTCAACTCACTGTGAAAAACTACAGCCACAAGTCATGAAATATACGTCTATACTACAGCATGTCAAAACAGAATTATTGAGTTTATAAAGTTAGTTTTAAACAAACTGATAAATAAATATTTTATATTTTTTTTCCAAATCAGAAGTGTTCTCAATTAAATCAGTTTATTTTTAGCAGTTTTTTTATGGGGTGAACCTTTACAAACAGACCTGCCTTCAGATGCGTTTATCAATCCCTCTAGCGAAAAATTTTTCCAGTCCCTAAGGCCCTTACCACATTCTGGCAGTATTCATTCTAGTGGTGTCTAAATTCCTTGAACTTCGAAACTGATGGCAAGAGATCATCTTCCTCCTTGCCAATGAGTTTCTATGCATTTATTTAGATAGTCATTCTAATAAAAATGTAATGTATGTTTACTTTTGATTTTTAGTTAGTATGTTTTACATCATTCCTGTTCTTATCTTGTGACCTTAGTTTCTCTACTACTTACAAAGCAATTACTACCGTTAATAATAGTTGAAAAGTTAATTTCAGAACTGTGGAAAAGCCAGAATTAACATTGCTGTAAAGTTGTAAATTTGACCCCATGAAAGATGGCCATTGCAACAGAATCATAAAATATACTGACAGATTATTCTACCACCACATCAGGGCATCTGCCAGTTCCCTTGGCCTATATTAGTCACCGAGTGAGGCAGCTTTATTATAACATTTCATTTGTTTTAAGTAAGTTTGTCGGTGCCGATTTGTTTGCTTATTATTTGACAAATGCATTGCCACTATTAACTCAATCACCATACAAGACACTGGTTTTAGACAGAAATCTTAAGAGAACAGCTTAAGTGTTTCACTAACATTAATAAAATCGGGCTGCCTGCCAAATCCCTGATTTGGGCCCTAAAACCTTCTAATCTAGATTGGCCATAGCAATGGCCAACTGCTGTTATCACATCCTTTCTTTCAGATACTTTATACAGGAACAGCTCTTTTATAAAGTTTAATTCATACACAATCCACATTTTCTATGTGAATGACTATTTTATTGAAAATATCATTTTACAAGCAATCTTTGTTGAATATTTTGTCCAATTACACACCAAAATAAACATTTTGGTTCTGAATCTGTTCAGCACAGAACTGCACCCAACTAGCTGTCACACCAACTCCAGCAGGTTGAACTAGCTGTCACACCAACTCCAGCAGGTTGATGTTTCTGTCTCGTCAGACCAAACCACGTAACACCTATTCTTCCCAAAGACAATGGTCAAGACCTCATTTTTCTAAGAGCTGTACATACTTTACATATGTACATAATAAACAGTCTCAAAGAATTTGCTGTTATGCTATAAGACCATTACAGTGATTTTAAGATTATCTTTTAGAGGTAAGAATCTGGCCCTGTTACGGTTATGGGCAACACTCTTCCTATCTATTTGAAGACTCATAAAAGATCATCAGCTGATTTTTAAATTAGAAATAGAACAAATCCTACTTCCTCTGGCAATTGGTATATGGACATGTTGAAACCGCTAAGACAAAAAAGAAAGAAATGTTTGATAAATGTGGCCATTCTGTACCACATTTTTGTATCACACAAGTAACTCAAATGATGCTAAAGCACATGTACTTCAGATGAATAATTTCAACTGAGGAGGAACTGCTGTGAGCTCTGAGCTACCTACCTTCAGTTTTAATAAATCAGAGGAGTACAAATTCCAGAGCACTAGCAGAGCAAGGAAGTCCTTCCAGTTTTTTAAAAATCTGAACTGAATTACTCTTGCTAAGCAATACGAAATAATAGACAGAATATCTTTTAAAAAAACTGGTCAAATTTTTGTCAATAATGTTTACTGATAATGCCTAGATATACAGACACACAGTTATGTATACATATATAGTATTTATATAATGCATATCCAAACTTTTGAAGATTGTTGCCATTTCATGCAATTGAATTTTCAAAATACATTATAAAAAGGTGTACAAAATTAGCTGACTGAAAGATCTTATTAATGAGGAATCTTTATTAAATAGACATTTAAAAAGTTTGAGTGCAACACTAAGCTTAACGCGATTTTATTTTTCAGCTGTAGTAAATACAAAATCATTGGTGCTAATATTTCAAGATGACACAAAGACTACAGGTTGAAAGCATACCTGGGTTTCTGCAGTTACAAAAGTTCAAGAGATTCAATCAATCAAAGAAAAATAATTACATTAAAGAAGTGCTCCATGAACGTTTGAAGGATTTCAGCATTAGCATCTTAAACTGATGAATTGCTTGGCACATACATACACAAAATCATAAGCAACCCAGAGACATACATTAAAGAAATTAAAAATAATTCCAGTATTCTGATAATTAATGAGGTTTCTAATGCAAATCAACAGTAATAATACATTATTCAGTAACTACAAAGAAATTAAATCAGCTCCTACTCTGTATGAAAAAGTATCCTAAACAAAATAAACAAAAGGATCATACTAATGCAAACTATTAAGTCATGTCTCAATTACACTAGAAAATACTTAGTAATTTTTTATTTTAACTTTCAGCTACTCCTACCCTTTCTGATCTTTCAGTACTATAAAAATATGTGACTGTGCGTATTCACTAGGTACAGATAACTATGACTAAGCATACAGCATGAAATCTAGATCCCAATCAAGAAATCGGATCACAATCAAGCTGATGACCTTTAACTATCCATCTTTTGGGGCCATGACCTCCTACAAGGACAGATAACTTAGACTTAGAAAAGTAATTACAGAACATAGCAGAGAGACTTTGTATTTTCTAAGTTTGAATCTTTGAGAGAATCACCATGTCTTACAAAGGTAAACTTTCAAAGTTTTAAGCATCTTATCTCTAAGGAACAGAAAAGGAACTAAAGCAGAGAAATAGGAGTGAGTCTTCGGAAAAGACAGGGAGAAGACAATGAGTAAATAACTTAAATCGAGAGGGTGAGATTGATGGTATAATTCCTAAAGTTAGGGCAGCAAATTAGTTAAATGTTAACATTAGTTTAGAACATGATTATGGGTCTTTCAAATAATTATCTAGACAAATATAAACTACTAAGCTCTTTTCTAAATACTATAAAAGAAATAGATTCAAAATTAAGGAAAGAAATAAAAGAATTGTTGTTTTTAATTACCAGATGGTTAACCAAACAGGAGAAACAATTCAATATTTGTTGTTAATATTTAGGCCTCCTGCTTGTTGATTTTCTAAAAGGAAGTTATATTATTTTGGCCTTTTTGAAGACGAAATAGTAATTTTTGTTCTGAATCAGCTCAACATATACTCTAAGCCTATTTTGATTGAATTCAGCCTTCACTTTTGAAATAGTCATCTGAGAATGGCCTTTACCATTTCACCTGGGAAGTTTTTTTTTTTTTTTTTTAAAAGGTACAATTATCCTAAATAATTATCCTAAATGCTAGAGGTGGAGAAACATGTAATTCCATCCCTAAAGCTCAGTTAGGCAATTCAAAAATTCCTCCATAAATGCAGTTGGCCTTTTTACTAACTAGCTAAAAAAACAGGATTAATGCACCAGCTTTTCCACAATGCACTGGGGAGCTCTCAGCAAGAATTACCAGCTGCTAAAATAGGAGGAGGTCTGAACTGGGTGCAATAACTTTGATCAAAGCACAGTTTTGCTTTAAAAAAAAAACATAGGTGACTAC